CGAAGTAAATTTAATTCAATCCAATAAGTTTAAATGAAATGCAAGAAAAAATGCGTATAATTTAAAATTCCGTACAGGGAAATCATGTGGTTTACACATCAGATTTTTTTTTTTCTGAGCTATCCCCAAAATGTAGAAATACTCTAAAAAAGTAATTATTTATATAATGTGTCATTATTTTTGTTCAACTCGGAAATTTGTTACCGAATGACTGCTTTTCTTACGTGATTTATATCAAAATATTAAGTAGAATGAAACCTTGCGGTGTTCAACAAATTTCCATTTCCCACGTTAAGTTCAAGAACAGAACTTCATTGATGCATGAATAGAATTGCAATAGTATGGAGTTATGAACTTGTTTAACGATCGCTAGCAATGAATAATCGATCAGAACAATTTCCAGATCTGTTGGATTTCCCGCAGAGAACCTTTTCTTACATTAATCCAAACAAATAAGCAAAAAAAAAAAAAAAAATATGCCTGAACCTAGGTGCAGACCTTCTAAAATAATTTCAAGAGTGAAAAGAAAGTTTCTCCAAAAATCCAGGTTGAAAAAATTTTTGTCTGCCGAACAGATTCGATGTGAAACTAGTCCTAACATAAGTTATGAAACAATTTGATGCACAATAATGAATAAAATAATGTATTCTTGAAGTCCAAGAATTCCCGGTTTTTAGAGAAAATACATAACTAAGAGCATATGCATTTTGTCAAATTGTACCATATCGAAAATAACCACGAAATATTGAAATAATAATGAAAAAAAAAAAAAAAAAAAACATTGTGGAATGCTGAAACTAAAAAAAAAATTAATTTATTTGGAGCGAATGGGAAATAGTAGTTTGTTAAGAGTTCAAGGACAGGCATATAATATATAATCAGAAATACATAAAGAAAACCAATAAATGTGGAGGTGGCAGTTTTATGTTATGTTATTTTTAATCGCCCTGTATTATATTTGAAGAAATTAAATAATGAAGAATCTGCATAAATGTATATATTTTTCCCGCATTGTGATTAAAGAACGGTACCTAGAGCCATCGAATTTTGAATGATGTAATCCTACTGTGAATATGAGCATCTGGAAACCCAAAGTTGAAATTAGGAATTTGTTTTATTATCGATTTTATATTTTGTAAACTTTAACGAATTTTTGATTAACAAACTAAACGATTTCAAACGAGCAATGGCAACACTGTACGGGGAAAAAAAAACATTTTTATCTCAAACGCGCAAGACTGTGTATCGGTAATTCTAAAGATATCCTCATTTTAAAATTATTTTGCGATATTGCTCTTGAACTGAATTTCATGGTTTAGGTGCGAAGAACATGATACTTAATAAATAAAGGTAACACACAAAACGTTGAAAAAACGCTCCTTTGGACGTAATTTAAAATCTGAAACCTTTCAGAATTTGTTTTGTATTTGTTAATTGTTTGTTTTTAAATTTCTTAAATTACATAAGGTTTCTTAAATTGCATAAGTTATACACTGAGAAAGCGACAAGCAATAGTTGATTGCATGTCATGCATCACTCGCAATGTTTTTAACTGAACGGACGGAAGTATCATAATTAGTCAGTATGTTATGCTTTGCCCCTTGCGCCCCAATGAGACAGAGCATGATAGACAATATCTATTATCAAAACATTTTCATATCTTATTTTCTGTATCACTTTTGCTTTTTGAAATTTACCTTTTTTTTTTTTTTTTTTTTTTCATTTTCTTCACGTACTGATGGTTGGTTTACTGTCGACCTGCATTAGTTTGCGAAGTTACTGGCTAGAACAGTGTTTCCCAACCTTTTTTGTGCTATGCCCCACCTAATCCTCTCTAAAATTTTTAAGCTCCCCCTAGCATATACATAATTTTTAATATTTAAAATTTGAAATTTTCACGAAAGAAACTTCAATGATAGCTTTTAGGAAGAAATGACTACGAAATTTCGTGAGCAAATACAGTAAGTGAACTTTCAAAACATGGAGAACTGAAATTCAAGAAAAAACTCATTTTAGTGAAAGTTTTTTATTTTAAGTATTAGTAATTTTTATTATTTAAATTTAGCGAGTTCCTTGCGCTTGATACATGCTGCAAAGAAATTTTATGTCAGATTCTAATTTAGATAACTTGAGTCTCAAGTCTCCCGGTTTCATTATATCCAACAATTTTTTTTAGCAGCAAATTATTTATGGGACTAAATCCGCATTCAGCAAAATATGAAGATGGAAACGGTAACAATAGTTCTCTTGCAAATTTTGTTGCATTTGGATATCTGATTCTGGTTTCCTCACAAAGCTATGTCATCGTTTCTTTTATATTAAATAAAGTTTTAATTGACTCATTATTTTGCATTTCTGCGAGTTCTTTTTACTGCATATTTGAAATATCAGCCAAATCCACTAGCATTGGCTGTATCATACAAGTTGGAAAATCAATTTAAGTTACAAAATCTTTTTAATCAGCCGATAAAATTTTCAGATGATCGACAATAACAAGTATAGCAGTAGTCGTCACATTTTTGGAGCCAATGAGACGTTTCAAAATTTTTGTGGTAAATAGTATATGACTGACATAATTCAACAAAGATAATGAAACCAAATATCTTCCTTTTGCATCATAAGTTTTATTTGCTCCTTGAAGTTGTTTATTTAATATATTTAATTTTTCAAAGATATCGGCTAAATAACTCATGATTGCCTTGTTATCATCCGTCAACGGATTTTTCATTTCAGGTTTGTCGCTTAAAATCAAAAAATTCCATAAATCTTTCCAAGCAGTTCCCTTTCGACAGCCTTCTTACTTCAGTGTGAAGTACAAGTCTCATATAGTCTTCATTTTGTTTTTCATAAAATAACTTGAAAAGATGTTCACATTTGGCCCTAGCTTTAATAGCATTGATACACTTTATAACTGAATTTAGTACTTCATTTAGAACAGGCGAATTGTTTTTACCTACCAGGTTTTCTCTATGAATAACACAATGCACAAGAAACATTTCTGGATTCTCATCTTTTATCAATTTTAAGCAACCCTTTTTCTTATTCCGTGCTTTCTTTTATTTTTCAACCATCATATTAGGAGCACCATCTGCAGTACAAGATGTATTTTATTTTTTATTGGTATATTTTTTATATCTACGTAATTTTTTAGCTTACTATAAATATCTTTGGAGGTAGTGGTGCTTTCTAATGATTTATAGAACATTTCTTCGGCAAAATCCCCTTTATGAATATATCTTACACAAGTTACAAATACAGCTTCACTGACTCTCAAAGTTGGTTCATCCATTTGCACCGAAACTTTTCTTGTTTTCAGCTTTTTTTCTTGTTTTCAGCTTGTTTTTCAACAAGTTGTATTTCAATATCCTCACTTATTTAATCTTTCTTCTGCAAAACAGTAGTGTTATTTAGTGGCATAGCTTTAACGTCTTTGTTATCTTTTTTTCTAGAACAGAGTTTTAAATGCTGATATTGATGGCTTTGATTAAATTCTCCCCTATAGTACGCGGCTTTTCCCAGATTAAACGATGAGTAATGAAATTTGAATAAATAGCTCAAGAGCACGATTAACAGTTGCATTATGAGCAGTAAATACACACTTTAATATTACTCTTTTTCGAAAGTTTTTCTTAAAGTGTGAAAATAATTCAAATCTGAATTAATACCAGCATTATGTTTTCGCCTTCAAATGTGCCTCAAGACGACCTAGTTTCATTGATTTGTTGGTCAGGCATTATTGCATAAAAGGACAAAGTTGACCGTTTATGGACCGGGTATGAAATCAAATTTTAAATATGCCTCCGAATACCGAAGAACGTTTTTTCTTGCTTGCACCCCTCATTTCACTAAGGGCTGAAAGAAATAAATATAAGATCAATATAAACAAATCTGAGCAGCTACTGTTGCCATTCAAGGAAAGAATAATATACCGGTTGCCATTCCTTCAGTAAAAAATAAAATAAATTCGTTGGCTGAAATGTGCGAGAAACGTCTGGAAAGCATAATGTGTCAGTTATTTAAACTTCAGTTAATTATTATTAATTTCCATCCTTTAAAAGCATTTAAATGTCCATGTCTACAGCGAGAATTCTTTATAAAATATTTAAAATGCACCGCAATTTAGAAACTTTTTTACGTATACATCACTTACATTTTTCTATATTTTGAGGAATAAAAAATGAAATTTCAAATAATTTTGACTTCATGAAACATATTTAGAACGTCCTTTGTCCCCTTAAACTCTGGACGAGTCCATTTTTGCATTGCCCCCCTTAACAGTAGATTGCCCCCTTGTGGGGCGTGAGCCCCACGTTGGGAAACACGGGGCTAGAATCTGTGCCTAGTCAATCTCGGCTACGGGGGTATACAAATTACGAACCTAGTGGTTCTGGAGGACCCGGAAAGGTCACTCATTGACAGTTGTGTTTTCACAGTGCCACAAATATACACACATTCAGTCAGATTCTTCATTATTTAATTTCTTTAAATATAACGCAGGGCTCTAATATTTGGTGGCAACAAGCAGTTTACAGTGAACCAACGCAACAATTTGAAAATTGAAAAGCGGTTTACAGGGAACCAACGCAAAATGCCAAAACGAAATTAATAGCCCTTCTGGGCAAATTGAACCTTTGGGCTAATAATTCATCTAAAGTTGCACATAGTTTATCTTCCATCCAGGCATTATTTATATATTTTTTCTCTAAATTTATAACAAAATAAAATTAGTGAAGATAGCTAATAGTTTTCAGAATTCAGTTTCAGGGTTCTGACGGTAATTTAAAATTTTATTGATCCAAATTTGTATAATTTAGCTAGAAAATGAATGGTTATAATAGATTTATCACTATAAACGTATTTGTTATTAGCCGGAAATGTTTTATAAATTGTGTAAAACACATTATTGGCTTATTTGCAGAAACTTTTCACGGCCTGCAAACGTACTAACTGACATTCCTCATATTCGTATCACCTTATAATAGAAAGGAATATTGAATTACTCGTATTCGGTCGCTGGTCGAAGCGGTCCATTGCAATATGTTTCGTTATTTGGACAATTATTCTCGAGCCCTATGGTGCATTTCAGGATACTTCCGTCTGTGCTAGGCTTACATTCGAGAGAGTCATTTTGACCTGGAAAGAAAAATACATTACAAGATTAGATATCATCTAGTTTGTAAGTTATTCAATATTTACTTGAAATAATTAATATAAATGAACAAATACACATCTAAGAAAATCAGCGATATTAATGAAACTTGATGCTGACAAGAACCGGGTAAGGCCCGTCTTTAGAATTAAGTTACAAGATGGGAAAAGAATCTGCTGTTCAAAACTTCCACTTATTTTGAAACTGTAGTTCTAATTAGTTTATATAAAGCTTTTTAAACAAAGTTTAGGTAATAAATTCAAAAACTCACAAGCCTTCAGGTCCAGAAAAATTTCGAAATAGAGTTATTTAACAGTGTATGGATAAATTTTAAAGGAAGGTAGTATTAAAATTTAATATTTAAATATAAAAATATTTTAATATTTATAACAGAAATTTTAAAAAATAAAAAGAAAATTTGAAATTCACAGATTTATTCTCAGAAAATCTTAGATGTTAAAAAAATCTTCAAAGATCTAAAATTCGCAAAAACGGCTGCAAAAATTCGTGCCGCCATAAAATTACCAGCCTAATTATTATTCATGTACATGCAAAAAATCAACTTATGTATAAATATATATATATATATGTCATAATAAAAGCACAAAGAAAAGGAAATAACGGAGCAGTGTAGATGCGTGCTTAGACCCATAATGAAGAAGATTTTGATTGCGTAGTATTTAAAGAACTGGGCAGTCGAAGCAGTTTTAATTCCATTTTTATTTCCAATTGATATTTGTGGCCACAATCACTTGGCACTCTAGTCGTGCCTTCCACAGAAGATTTACATTTTTGATATTGTTGGGATAGAAAGCAAGCCAGCGAAATCACATCTTAGCACAGTAGCGAGCAAAAACTGAAGTGCGTAGTTATGAAAGATGGAAACACGCGAAGAGAAAAGTTTTGGTTTACAATTCGGTGATTGATCGTCAAGAGGCATCTGGTATTAACGGTTAAGTAAGATCGCATTATTAATTTGAATGACGCAATGCAGATAAGTTATTACGATTTTAGAATAGGGAGGAAGAATTTATGTTTATTATAATTCTGATTCATACATTTTTATCTTACATATTTCCCCCCTTCAAAAAGAAAAAGGCGTAGAGCGACAGAGAAGCCTTTTTAAAAGAGAAAGAGTTGTTAAAGCACTAGCAAATAAAAAGAAAAAAAATAAATCATAAAATTTTGATTCTATAAAAGTATAATTTATAAATATCAAGTTTTTTTAAATAAATTTTAATTTTTATAGTCCTATTGAATTTTTCAGCATTTCAGTCCAAAAGTCTTTTTGTTTGAGAATTCACATAATCATAATTCTTCAGGGAAGGTTCTTGTTATTAGAGAATATCACAAAAACTTTTACATAATCATTACTTATAATTAAATGTAATGCACATAATATTTATGATACTTATTTCTATACTGATAAATTATAATTTAACATCATAAATAATAGGATTTAAGATTTTCAGAATTTATGGTTTCACCGTTATCATCTTTCATTTACAATTCCTTATTTTACCAAACTGGAAGGCCTCGCAATACTTCTAAACAAACATATCCAATCAATAGGGCTTGTCCTCTTGAGCTAACCAGTGTGTTCTCTGCACTGATGGCCCAGGGTGCCTAGACAGTTACTTGAAAAGGTCTCCGTTCCTTGCATTAAGGTAACTGGCCTTTTGAGAACTGCACTAATACATTCCACATAATAAAAAAAGTATAATAATAATAATATAAAAAAATTACATGCATTCATAAAATGAGAGCCTCCAACATTATCTTGCATGAAGAGGGTAAAAGGAACAACTGTACAGAGGTAATTACAGGCCTCTGGTTGAAGGAACCAGTACTCCCTCAACATACACTATACTTAACACACAATAAGCCATAAATTTTAACATGCATTTACCATAATTTCATATTACTTATCTGTACTAATTTCACTTCTTTTTTACACCTACTTCATTTTTAGAATAATTATAAAATTCGTATTGAAAAATTCTCAACAAAAAATTTCAAAAACATAAAAACTTAATATCCTTCCCTATGAATAATTTAAATAGCTTAAAATTAATTACTTAATTTGCTCACACATAATTATGAAAAATTCAAAATTAGAAAAATTAATGAACAAGAATTTCAGATTTTCTCAAAACAAATTGCAGAAATTTTAACCAATGTTGAAATGAAAACTATAGAATCCGCAGCACATTAAATAATTTAGTTCCTGAGCTAGGTTCACACGAATGTAATAATTTTTGAGCTGTTGAAAAAGCAGAAGTGCAAATAATTTTCTGTCGCGCATACTTGCAAACACTAACTCAGATCGACCTTGAATCCGCTGTAATGCTTAATTCCTAAACGGTAATTCACTGATGATTTCCTTTTCACTAGGCATTCAAACTTCTCAATTTATCGAGATATTACTTTCAACTGTAAACACTACGCGTGATTATTTTTTTGAAGCACTTGCAAAACACCACAGCAGAAGAATGATCTGTTATTTTTAAACACTGAAAAAAAAACTTGATGATTTCACTTCTTTCACATTATCTTGGGATTTCACAAAACGATGATTTGAAGAGCTGAATTAAATTTTCCATTGAGGTTTCAGGCTGCAGGAAACTATCCTTATCCTACCGGCTTAATTGTCATAATAAGAGCACAAGGAACTGACGGAACACTGTAGATGCGTGCTTAGACCCATAATGAAGAAGATTTTGATTGCGTAGTATTTAAAGAACTTGGCAGTCGAAGCAGTTTTAATTCCATTTTTATTTCCAATTGATATTTGTGGCCACAATCACTTGGCACTCTAGTCGTGCCTTCCACAGAAGATTTACATTTTTGATATTGTTGGGATAGAAAGCAAGCCAGCGAAATCACATCTTAGCACAGTAGCGAGCAAAAACTGAAGTGCGTAGTTATGAAAGATGGAAACACGCGAAGAGAAAAGTTTTGGTTTACAATTCGGTGATTGATCGTCAAGAGGCATCTGGTATTAACGGTTACGTAAGATCGCATTATTAATTTGAATGACGCAGTTTAGACTTAAGCGCTATTTTTAGGACAGATAGAGGAAGTTCTCAAATGAAATAGAAAATAATGGAAGTTATAGTAAATTAAGTTTAGAAGTTTTTGCTTTCATATTTTTACTTACTATATATATGTTATTATTTGTTACATTATTTTCTTCCTTCACGTTCGTACGGGGTTCGTGTGGATTTGGAGTGAATAAGGGCGACACTAAGTATCGAAACACACTTTATTTACCTAATATTAATCAAGACAGCTCCAAAATCACGTTTACAGTCGTCGAACTGTTATAAACACGCTGACACGTTCAGCGACACAGCCTGCACACTGTCAGGCAATAACGATGGAGACAACTTAACTGCAAAGCACAATAGTACAGCTCCCGACTCTGGTCGGTCGTTCTCGGAACTCCACGTACTCTCGAGACTCTCCACGCTACAACTCGCGATACACTCGACGACACACAGAGCACAGCTCCCGCCTCTTCGGTTTAGTCGTTCCCGGAGCTCAACACACTCTCTCGACGATGCACTAACCGCGATACACTAAGAGATGCCTTCGGTGAATTCGACGACCCACTCGGCGCTCGCTGCCCGACTGTCAACTATCGACTCGAGACACTAACTATCTCGCACTCTCGAGCCACACTTTCGATAATAACTCTCTCGCACTCTATGCGAGGCACACACACTAACTGACTGCGGACCAGCAGGACTTTATATAGCAATATTAATCAGGACAGCTCCAAAACACTTTATAGTCTTCGAAGATCTGCTATAAACACGCTGGAACAATCAGCGACACAGCCTTCACACTGCCAGGCAATAACGGTGGAGGCAGCTTCTCTGCAAAGCACCAGAGTACAGCTTCCGACCCTGCTCGATCGTTCTCGGAACTTCAGGTACTCTCGACACTTTTCACTCTACAACTCGCGATGCACTCGACCACACACAGAGCACAGCTCCCGACTCTTCTATTCAGTCATTCCCGGAGCTTAACACACTCTCTCCACGATGTACTAACCGCGATACACTAAGAGACTCTACGACGAACTCGACGACCCACTCGGCACTCGCCGGCCGGGCTATCAACTCGACTCCGCACTGACTAACTCGAGACTAACTATCTCGCACTCTATGCGAGGCACTCACTAACTGACTGCGGACCAGCAGGTTTTATATAGCTTTCGGTTTGTGTTCGAGAACATTTTAGGCTAAACCGGTAAGAATTCGTTCCAGAAGGTTCTCCATCCGTCTATAGCATATCGCCAGTTTTGTCGCCAAATATCGCCAAATGTGCGATTTTTCGCCAAATGTGGTAACCCTGCCTTTTCTTACCATTTTATGGCAACCCTAAACCTTTTTTATGGGGGAAACTATATCACCGCGTCTGTATATTTCGTAACAATATATATATATATACATACATATACCAAAACCTTCAAAGTTCTTTTGAATGTGCGAATTTCCTTTTCTCGCATGTTAATTTTAGAACCGAAATTTTAAATCGTGTGAAGTCCCCCCCCCTTTTTTTGATAGTTGAAAGAGACAATATTTCGAAGAATAGCTTTTAATCACGATTTTTATTGAAAAATCATGACTCAATCGAGTTAAATCATGACTCAATTGGACTCTTAAAGAGTCCTTAAAAGTTCTTAAGTTTTTTAAATCGATTTTTGTTCCTTAAAAGTCCTCAATTTTGGCGAAAATCAACAGAAGGTTCTTACTTTTAATCATCTGAAATTTTTGTCTGGTTATTTTTGGCGATTTACTGATAATTATGGTTATCCTTTGAATGGCTTCATGGTTTATAATTTGTTCCTATTTCTAATATAAATGGTAGGGTACTCCAGTTTCTGAGCAAGAAGGGAAACATACGCATTTCGAAATTATTTCATTTTTTCCAATGAAGAGCTCTTTATCAACTTTTCGATCTTTGATTTTCGTGT